GCCGAGAGTAAAAATGAAAAAGCACAGACAAGCTTATTTTTTAGACTTTACTAGATCCTTTAGATTAAATGATTTTATTAAAACCCCTGAATATTCTGGTGATACATGAGAGAATTTTTGCACTTGAAACCTATATAATTTTATTAACCAATGTCACCCCAATAAATTTAATAAAGTCTTGAAAAGCCCCGAATAGAAATGCAATGACAAAAATTAAACCGGAGTGTACTGGTGCGAAGGTCGAGTCTCTCTGAACTCATTAATTAACTTTGCTCTCAGTAACGAGCTGCACAGTCCTTATAAGCTTCCATGATAAATTCTGCTCCTGATCTGGAGGGGCAGTGAGGCAAATGAGAAAAGGTCATCTGCACGCACAGGTAAGTGCGCCAGGCCCCGGTGCGGAGAAAGTGCGCAGCCCGTGTCTGTGGAAGGTGCGTAGCGTGGAGGAAAGGGGGCAAACTGGGCCCGGACGTCTGGAGGCCTGAGTCCTGGGGCTGATGCTGACTTCCGTAGCTCTGCGACCCTGAGCCGGCGGCCTTATTCCTCCAGTCTCTGAAACAAACACGTTGAAGGAGAGGGCGGTGCCGCCTGAAGTTCGTCTGTGTGTGTGTGTGTGTGTGTGTGTGCGCGCACGTGTCAGAAACGGGTCCTTTTCAATTCGCTGTGGCTCAGCCAGTCCCCCTCTTTCATTTTTTTAAAGATTTTATTTATTTATTTTTAGAGAGGGAAGGGAGGGAGATAGAGAGAGAGAGAGAAACATTAATGTGCGGCTGCTGGGGGCCGTGGCCTGCAACCCAGGCATGGGCCCTGACTGGGAATCGAACCTGTGACACTTTGGTTCGCAGCCCGAGCTTAATCCACTGAGCTACGCCAGCCAGGTCATTTTTAAATTTTACCTTTTTTTTTAAATAAGGCTTTTTGTTCCAGCTCTGAAACTGTTCTTCGAGTAACACAAAATCAAAATACCTTTATACTTCAAGCTCTATCCTGGGCGGAGTAAACATCCTTCCAGTCTAAATAAGGAACAAGGTGACTTTCAAGTCCAGTATTCAACAGCAGTATTTGCCTAGACACTATTGTTCTGTATTTAAATCATCCCACCCTGGACAGAAATGTTTATAAATTGTGTAGCACAGTGATTGTCAACCTTTTGCATCTCATGGCACACATAAACTAATTACTAAAATTCCGTGGCACACCAAAAAATATATATTTTTTGCCAATCTGACCAAAAAAAGGTATAATTTTGCTGCACTCATGCTGGATGGCTACTGTTGTGCTGGCTGTCGTCGTTACTCTCTTTGACAGTCTAAGGGAAAGAGGCAGTGCCCTTGACCTTGACGGAAGAGTCAGGTGTGGCATGTTTTCCCAAGTCTTGTGGCCACCGGTCATAGGTCGCTGGCGTGGCAGAAACCGCTGTTCTCTCCACGGGGAAGAAGGTTAGACGGTCACACAGAGTCCACGCCGAGTCGTCACAAGCTCCTTACTTGCCGGCACCGCCTGCGCAAGGAGAACGGCCCGCCCGTGGGAAGCGCTCCGGGACCTCGAGCCCACCCTTACCGGGTTCGTCTTGCCCCTGAGCCGCTGGGCCGCTCGCGCTGACTGAGGTCTGGCCCCGCTGTTTTCCTGCTGTGATTTTTTTTTCATTTGCAAGAATTTCAGGCTTACAGAAAAAGTACAACAATAGCACAAAGAATCTCCACAAACCACTCACTCAGGTCCCCGAAATGCTGACGCTGGACCACACGTGTTCAGGTCTGGACTACACGTGTTTTACTGTCCTCTTTCTGCGTGTACGTGTGTGTGTGTGTGTGTCCGCGTAGTTTCCCCGGAATGTTAGAAAGGACGTTGCAGACTGGATGCTCCTTCACCCCTGAAATACTTCCGTGCGCATTTCTCTAGAATAAGGCCTTTGGTTAAATAGCGGCAGGACAATGATCAAAAGCAGGGAATTAACATTTGTACTATAATCTAAGGGCTTTTCCAAATGTCACCAACTGCCTCAGTAGTCTTCGTAGGAAAAATTAAAATTTTTTACATGCATGTGCAGACATTATTTTCTTTTTACGCTTTGCTTCTTACACATAGGTGGTGTTAGTTTCCTATGGCTGCCATAACGGACACCACAAACCCAGTGGCTTGAACAGTGGAAATTTATCATCTCACTGTTCTTAGGAGCAGAAATTCGAGGTCAGGGTGTCGGCAGGGCTGTGTCCCCTTAGAAGGCGCAAGGGAAGGAGCGGAGTCAGGTGTCTCTCCCCGTTTCTGAGAGCTCCTTGGCGAGTGGCCGGCTGCGTAACTACAATCTTCACGTGATGTTGTCCCTGTGGGCACGTCTGTGTGAATTTCCCCTTTGCATTCCAGTTCCAGCCGGCACCATCAGCTACTGGCTGTGTTACTGTGCTCTCATCAGGGAACCGCCCTTGAACCTGATTACTTCTGTGCATTGTTATGCCCACAGGAAATTTCACACCTAAAGGGAGGTTTAACGCACTCACTTCGGATAAGGTTCAGGGGCCAGTCTCAGAAGGAAAATCTCCAAGGATTAAGAAAATGCTCTAGAGAAAATAAGGGTTTTGCAGTGTCTTTTACACGTTCGGATGAAAGGAGAAGATGTAAGGAAGATAATGAAATCATTGGTGGTAGATTAAGGAGGCGGGAGAAACTAAAGCAGGGAAATCTGTAGGATTGGATGAAAATGGATAGGTGCATACTTTTTTTTATGTTGGTGGGTGCAGGAGACTTCACTTTTAACATACAGTTTGCAGAGGGATGCAGGTAAAGGTAACAACAAGGAACATTGGGGTCGTCTCTCCTCGGTACCCGGGGTGCTCATCTCTGGAGATCTAAAGAAGAGGCCGTTCTGAAATTGTGTTACTCTAGCCGTACAAAAACAGTGGACAGAGCTTGCTCCAATAGAGATTAATCCACTCTGCAGGCGCTGGGACCTGGCTGCCCATCACGACCTGCTCAGCTGGGAATTTTCTGGGATGAAAACATCCTGTGCAGTTCCTTTCGGTGACTGCATCTGTCAGGCTGGTCGGGGTGGCCCTCTTTTTGGTTCACAGCTGAAAAGAGACAATAGGCCCCAAATGCAGTCCTTTGTACCAAGTCCCATATCTGCAAGCCGAGGCTTAATACTTAACTTAATTACAGTTCCAACCTTCCCCAGGACTGTAATTTTAGGCAGTCAGCCTGGAATTTCCTGGTCAGCATCAATGAACTAATCCTCCTAACAGTCCCAATTGTTCCCCAAAGGAAGGTGACCTTGCCTGAAATAATCCTTTTAAAAAAAATTGGTTTCCTTGCCCCACCCCCTCCATGCTTTAAAAAACCTTTCCATTTCTGTATCCCTCTGGGGCTCCTCTCCACTTGCTGGGCGGGACGCCGCCCGATTCATGAATCCTCCAGTGAAGCCAATTAGACCTTTAAAATGTGTTTGTTTCCATTTCTGTTGCTTAACATTATGAATAAGGCCATCCTTCTATGTTTACATAATAGTTGTATTTATAATGTGTGTAATCCCATTTGCTATGTAACGGCTACTGTGCGCATCAAATGATACCAAATATAAAGTAAGAGAAAGCCTTCTTAACTTGTCAGGGAGCTGGGGGAGGCGGGAGAGGGGTACCACTGTTAGTCTCCAGGTTACCATGAGAAATACCTCTAGAACAGCGGAATTTTAGCGAGAATCTGGGAGGAAAAGCATATGTAAGTGCTTTGTAAATTTCAGCACACTCACCAGCTGGGTAGGATTAACTCTGACAACACAGCCAAAGCCGGTAACATGTGCTCCATGAGCATGCGCGATTCTTTGTGCTGCTGTTCAGGGCTCCCCCCGCCACCCCCTGCCCCCAGCCCCCACGGAAGAAGGAAGCTCCCGGAGTTTCAATAACTCATCAGTGTCTCACAGCCGAGAATGGACAAGTCTCCAAATCAGATCCAGTCCTGTCTTCTTTCTTCTTCTTCCTTCTTCCCCTCCACCTCCTCCTGCTCCCTCTTCCTCTTGTACATTTTTTAATTATTGAATTTATGGGGGTGGCATTGGCTAATAGAATTATATGTTTCAAGTGTACGATTCTGTAACACATCGTCTGTGCAGTGTCGTGTTCACCGCCCCGTCTCCTTATCCCCGTTATCCTCTCCTACCTCCCCCCACCAACGCCACCGTCCTGTTGTCTGAGGGTTTTTGTTTTGTTTTGTTTTTGCTGAATTCCTCCACATTTTTTATCCCGTCCCCGTACCCCGACCCCTCTGACAGCTGTCAGTCTGTTCTCTGGCCTGTGCTTTGACAACTAGGTTGTAAGGGTCCCTTTCACTCTGAAGGTCGCATTTTCCCCTGAGCTGGGAATGGAATCTGCTCTACGAGGTAGGACACTAAGACGGTGCCGAAAGCATGGGAGATGAGCGTCTTCCCTCGTTTTGGTTCATTCTTGGGTACAGCCGGTATCGATCCTTTAACCGACTCTGGGTCTCGGGGTCGTCAAACAGAGAACCTCTGCGGACAGACAAGCACACCTGCCCAGACAGCCCGCCCCGCCTGCACTCCAGGCGGACCCGCGCGCGAGCAGGCTCGGGGCGGGGCCTGCGCCTGCGTCCTGCCCGGCGTGGGCGGGGCTCGGCGGGCGGGAGGTTTGAAGCCGGGACCCGCGGAGCCGAGCGAGGCCCGGGCAGCTCCCGAGCGCGGGGCTCGCCCGGTCCAGCCAGCCATAATCTGCTCCGGGGTTTGCGAGCTGCACAGCTCGAGGTAGACAGGCGAGGGGATCCGGCGGATCCGCGGCGCGGGGTCACCGCCCGCGTCGGCCATCCGGTCTCCCTCGGAGCGGCCCTTCCGCGCGCGGACGGCAGGGCGGCGCTCGGGAGCGCGGGGCGCGCAGGTGGCGGGGATTCCGGGCAGTTATGCTCTACGGCCCCCCCCGAGCCGTCGGCGCCCTTCCCGGCCCCGCGCCCAGGTGAGCCCAGGTGAGCCCAGGTGAGGCGCCGAGAGCTTCTAAGTCTCCCATAGGGGCTGCAGGACTCGGCTCGGGTTTCGGGGCCGTGCTTCCTCGTAACGGACCAGAGGACAGACAGCAGGCCTCGCGGGGCAGGACGCGGAGCCGTGCCGCGGCGGGCGAGCCCGGGTCTGCATGCGAGGCCGAGTCCGCGTCCGCGCCCGCGCCCGCGCAGGAATCGCCCCCTCCCCGCGGGCCGCCGGGCGGGTCGGCGCGGCTCCGCCTCCGGCCGCCGAGAAAACGCGGAGAGCGGATCGTCGCGGGCGGAAGGGAGCGGCGCGCCGGCCCTGCGCATGCTCGGTGCCGCCCGGCGGGTCTGCAGACTCCGGCTTCGCGCGGCAGTGCGGTTCCCTCCGCTCCTCATGGCGGAGCCCGGGACCCCTCGGGGCGCGGTTCTGAAAGGTGAGGGCTGGTTCTCTCTGGGAGCGCGTGCGGCACCCGCGGGGGGTCAGAGGTGGTGGGGCGGGGAGGGGGCTGGTCAGCGGATCCCCGGAAGTCAGCCGAGCTCCACGTGGAGCGCGGGGTCTGTCCCCGAGCGCGGACCGTGCGCCCGCGCCGCCTGGGCCGGGGAGCGGTGGATCGCCGGCTTTCTCCCGCGCCGCAGCGCCGCTGCACGGCCGGGTGACCGCGGGGACGCGGGGTCAATTGTGGAATTCGGAAAAGCGAGCCGGGGCTCGGCCGCGTTCGCGTCCTGGCTGTTTGTTGCCACAGCAGCGACCCCTCCTTGGCGACGTGTGCCCAGGAACTGTGCCGGAGGCGCGGTTAATGCTGTCGTAACGGCGACAGCCCCGGCAACCCTGCCGCACCTCGCTTCGTAGGTGGGGACGCCGAGGCCCGGAGCCTGCAGGGACTTCCCGCCACCCCACGGCGAGTCGGGCGCAGAGGGGATCGGGGCGCCCACCTGGGCCCCTGGAGCTGCCGAGGGGGAGGACAGGAGCAGGGAAGGGGCGAAGGGCAGTGGGGCCTGCAGGCAGGGGCCTGGGGTACGGACCTTGGAGCCAAGACAGGAGACCAAGGCTTTACTTTACATCAACTCCGGGCAGGTGGAGCTGCTGTCTTAATGTTCGTGTTTTGTTAAATTAACCCGCCTTTCCTTTTGCTTTGCTCACAGTTAGTTAGAGTGGCACACCTGGAGATCCTTTTTAAAGCATGAGGTTTTGGGAGAAAGGGAGCCCCTGGATCAGGGGTCTGCCGGCCGTGTCCCCCTCTCCCCACTCCGCCTGCCGCCTGTTTTTGTGGGACCGGCCAGCCAAGACGGTTTTACTTTTGTAAATGGCGGGGAGGGTGGGGGAGAAACACACCAGAAGAAGCATGGCCAGTGAAAAGTATATCAGATTGTAACTTGGTCGTCTGTGAGGTTTTATGGGAACACAGCTGAGCTCACTCATTTAGCACCGTCTTCGGCTGCCTTTGCCTTGGGGCCCTGAGTGGCGTACTCTCAGAGCCTGGAGTATATATTTATCGTCAGGTCCTTTACAGAACACAGACTCTTCTTGCCCCAGGAAAGTTGAGCCTGGCTTAGGAATTTGGGAAGAGCTTTGAGGGTTCGTCATGTACACTGTGACATGTGTATGAGTCGAGTTGTACTTTGTTTGAGATTTTAAGGACCAGGATAGCACTAATGCTCTTTTGAATAGGCTTGTAATGGAAGACGTTTTAAATTTATTTTTAATGTAAATATAACGAGAAAGATGTATTGAAGTCTTTGGGGGAGGGATGCTGGATTTTCAGTATATTTAAAATGTTAATGCCTTGTTTACCTTTAGATGTGGTGGCTTATGTGGAAGTGTGGTCAGCCAACGGAACGGAAAATTATTCAAAGACGTTTACAAACCAACTTGTGGAGATGGGGGCAAAGGTAAGAAATTCGTTTTACTATTGCTACACGTGAGTAGGAATTTCATCTTACCATTGCTACATGTGAGAATTCATCTCACCATTGCTACATGTCAGTTAAGAAATCCTTCTCACTATTTGTACTTGTTAGTTAAGAATTCATCTCAACATTGCTACATTTTGATAGTGCTCTGGCACATAATGAGATAGATTTACATTTTCTTACCTGGGGAGTTACTACGTAGAACAGGAAGGGAAGAGAAGACAGTGAGTGAGTGGCAGGAGAAAAGGGAAGAAACCCACAATACGAAGGACTCGGCCCAGGGGGGTTTATAGGACGGTTGGTCCTGTGCTCGCGAGGACGGGGAACTCTAGATGACAGTGTGCGCCCTGCCCTTGGCTACATGGTGGGTGCAGCTGCTGCTGATCAGATGAGGAATACGGGGGGGGGGGGGGGGGGAAGAGGTGCTCCAGGGAGGGGCTGGGAAGTTGGGGCACTGGAAGCATCTGGCAGTCGTTTAGGAATGCGGGTCTGGGGGTTGTGGTCCAGGCTGGAGACCCCGCGTTCGGGGTCAAGAGTCTAGGGCTCCGGCGTTGGAAGGAGAAGTGCTGAAGGCGGACCGTGTTCAGTATTTCAAGGGCTGCTAACAGGGTAGGGGGTGAGGGGCCGGACCCAGGGACAGCGATAAAGAAGAACGTCAGAATCCAGAACGCAGGTCTGGAAGTCGAGGGAGGGACTTTGAAAACTCGGCCGACTCTTGAGAAGAGTTGAGCCTGGCCAGTGCAGCGTGCGTTGGTCTGAGAGCTGCAGGTCGCTAGGGAGCCGGCCAAGGGCGTGGACCGGCCCCGGAGTCGCTGAGCCCTGTGGACCGCACCAGGTTCTCTGTCGCTCTGGCTCGCCTTCTCCTCTTAGTGGTGTCTTTTGGTGGCAGTTGAGATGCTGGGAACAGAAGCGGTGAATGCAGACAGCGCTCCGGGGGTCCAGCAGTAGACAGAGTGTTTGTGGCAGGGCCCTGGGGGGGATTCGGTGTGGTTTTCCCTTCGTGGGGAGGGTTTTTTGTTGTGCGTCTGGCCTAAACAACACACCTGTCCCTGCACTGCGGTTCCGAAGGTTTTCCTCCCCTGTTGTCTCCGGGAGTTGTATCCTTGTGCCTTTCACTTTCAGATCTGTGCTGTATCTGGGATTGGTTTTCGTGTATGGTGTGAAATAATTTCATTTTTTTCCATGGGAGTGTTCACTGCGCCCAGCACCCTTGAAAAGATTGCCCATGAACCAAGCCCCACGGCACTCCCTGTCCCCGGTCCGGTGACTGTGTTTCGGCGTCTGTGTGTTCTGCCTGGTGACAAGCCACACTGTCTTAATTGCGTTTCAGAATAAATTTTCATCTTCTTTTCTTCAAAGTGTTCTGGCCACTTTTAGCCTTTCACCTTTCTAAATACATTTTACAATCAGTCTGTTAATTACAGCATAGAACTTTTGGGGGATTCTGATTGGGGTTGGATCAATAACAATAAATCAGCGTAGAGAGAACTGACATTTTTACAAAACGGAATTTTCCAGCCTATGAACACGATCCGTGCCTTTGTTGATGTTGGTTTTGAAGAGTGTTTCGGGAATGTTCTGGGCTTCCCCGCGGCTGTCGCGGCTGCTGGTCTGTAAAGTGGTCGGCGTCTGTGTGTCCACCTCACGCCCAGGAAAGTCCCCAAACTCATTCGTGAATTCTGCGGTGTTTGGGGCTTTCGCAGACAGGCCCAGTCGAACGGTGTGTGCACTGGACCGTTCTGGTTTTTCTTGTCCTAACACCTTTTATCTCTTGTCCCTCTCCGGCTTCACGGGGGCGGCCAGCGGGCAGCGTGGAGACGTCGAGCACCTGGCGGCACCCTCTGGTCAAAGGGGAGCCCTCGGCATTTCCTCTGGTGCGCTCACTGCGTGCCGACTCTGGGAGCCCCCTTTCCTGGGAGTCGTCCTCGTGAATAAACCTTTAGTGTTACCGAATGTGCTGTACACATGTACTGAGGCGCTCGTTACGAGTTTTACTCTGTTCATGTGGTGAATAATAATTACTTTTTATTTTTAACGTCAGCCACCTTTGCAGCCCCAGAACAGGGGCTGGGGCTGGTCGGGGCGGGCGGACGTGTCATGGTCCATTGTTCTCGTGTCGTCACTCCCTGACTGTCGCGCCAGTTCCCGCACGAGCCGCCGGCGCCCACGCCGCCCTGCCCTGCGTTGTTGTCCTCGTTTTTACCGGGTGCAGCTCGCTACTTCGTTGCTTGTTCTTCTGCGCGCGTCTCCGCGAGCGAGCGGCGCTTGCCTGTACTCGCTCAATGACACTCGGCGCAGACAGTAACTCCCGACCTGAAAAACGTCTTTGCCCTTCACCTGCAGGTCTCGAAGACGTTCAGCAAGCGCGTGACGCACGTGGTGTTCAAGGACGGGTACCAGCGCACGTGGGACCGGGCGCAGGAGAGGGGCGTGAAGCTCGTGTCGGTGCTCTGGGTGGAAAGGTACACCCCACCCCCCCACCCCCGCCCCGTTGCTGTCAGCGGACGGGACAGGACGCACATCCAGGGAAGCGTCGTTCTGTTGCTCCGCTCCCGGGCGCATTCCCTACGTGGGGCCCTGACCGGCGTGTGTCGGGGCGACGCTCCCGCCCACTGAACACCCGGCCAGCCAGGGCCTCTGGTTCTGCTCCCCGAGCACCGAGTGTGGGTGCAGTGCGGCCGCGCACTGTTTGCATGGGTCACGGGACCGGATGGTGTCTGATTTCCACCTCCTCTCCGTGGCTGACCCGGGCAGCCGTTTCGTGGCCTCCGTCGCAGCGTCCGCAGCCGCGGGACGGTGGCAGCGGGACCCCTGGCCGGTGGGGGAGCGAGCGCGTGGGCCCTGGGGCACTGTGCTCCGTGCGGTCAGGGAACGGCGAGGGAGCAGGTGCGGGAACTCCGATGGCATCCGCCCGCCCGGGTGGAGTGTCACCATGCTCCGCAGGCTGGCGGGCGCAGACAGCAGACCTCTCTTCCCCCCGGTTCTGGGGGCCGGAGGTCCAAGGCCAGGGTGCTGGCGGGGCTGGTCTCTTGGAGGCCTCTCTCTGGCCGGTCTGGCCGGCAGGGGCCTGTCGTCCTCGGTCTCTCCGTGTCTGTGCCCTGATCTCCGCTTGGGAACGAACGCTGAGGGCGGACGGAGCAGGGCCCACCCCAGGACCTCTCTTCACTCACCCTGTCTCCGGAGGCCTGTCTCCGGTGCAGTCCCGTGCGGGGGGCGGGGGACACAGCTGAGCCCACAACAGGAGTGCTTGGGGGAGCTGGGCAGGAGGTTGAGGTGGGAGAGGTCCCGGGCCTCGGGTGACGCCGGCTCCGGTGGGCTGTGAGGCCGAGGAGCATGACTCGGGGGACGGCTGGTGGAGGCAGCTGAGTGACCCGGGCTGGAGGCGCGGCAGCACCAGGACGGCCACAGCCAGTCCTGGCAGGTGTGGCTCCGTGGCCTGGCTCCGTGGCCTGACTCCGTGGCGTGGCACGAACCACGCACAGCTCTCCTGCAGGCGTTGTAGCCAGGGAGCCCCTCACCGGTCCGAGTCACGCCCGTGTCCCTGGCTCTGCGCAGGCCGCCAGACGGCCTGTGGTTCCTGGTGTGCAAAATAACTCAGTCTCCGAGCTGCGGCTTTTCTCGGCCCCCGGTGAGGTTTGTGGGGGCCCGCGGGCCTTGCCGCCTGCACCCCGTCACACCCTCGCTGTGCAGCTGCTGGTGTCTGTCGAGCACGAGTTCTGGTTCCTCCTTGGTCGGCGTGGGTCTGTCGGTCGCTGGGGGGCGTGCTGGAGTGTCGGTCGTTAGGTCAACCATCTCCCACGGCTGTCCTGTCGCTGTGGCGTTTCTGTCATCAGGCGGCGGCGCGTCCCTCAGGCGCTTCCTTGTCTGCGGGTGTCCCTGCGCGGTGGTCGCGCGTGCGGGCAGCGTTCTCGGTGGGGGTGGGTCCCAGGGTGGCCGTGGCTCCCCCCGCCCTCCTCTGGCCTCCGGTGTCCGGTGTGACGCCTCGGTCATCACCGTCATTTCTTGGTGTGAGTGACATGTCCTTTCTCCGCGGCTGCTTTCCAGTTCCTCTTTCCTTTGGTTTTTGAACCTTAGCTTAGGTGCTTTTAAGTGTATTCTGTGTGCGCTCCTCTGAGGTGTTTGAACGTATAAACTACTAGTTTTGGGCCATAACCTCTTCAGAGGCTTCTGTGTCGCCTTTCTCTCTGGCCGGCACCCCAGGTGGCCGCAGAGCAGGCGCGGCACGGTGCTCCTGGAAGGGACCGGCCCGCACTCGGCTCTGGGGTCAGGGCTCAGGGGACAAGCACACCTGCTCTCGGCTGAGGCCGTGCCGGCAGAGCCCCGTAGGAAGGCGGTGGGGGTGCAGGGCCGGCCCCGGAGCTCCCCCGGGCCCTGAGGCCGTCGCTCCTTCGCCGTCTGGGCCTGCCCCCGAGTGTCCTGACTCTTCTTTGTCACCTGCCTTGTGCCACCCGCCCACATGGGACGTCACCCCGGGCAGTTTCAGCTGTGGCGCCCCCACGTCCTTCCCCCCCTCGCACAGTGCGCCTGCCGTGGCCCCATCCCCACCTCTCCGGCCGCTCCAGCTGACCAGGCCGGCACCGCTTGGCCGTGTTTCCTGGAAGGTGTCCCACTCACCTGGCTCTTCACCCGCTGCACGGTGGGGCTGCGTTTCGGGCTCTGGGACTGTCCCCCGCGGGCCCCGCCCCCGCCGTGCCACTGGGGCGGGGGAAGGGCTGTCCTCCGGGAAGGGCCGTCCGTCCCCGGCCTGCGGCAGGGCCCTGTGGTCGCTCCGTCTGCACCGCCCGCCTCCTTTCCGTGCTGTCTGTCTGTCTGTCTGTCTCTCCTGTCTGTCTGTCTGCCGGCCCGCCTGCGCCATCACGGGCGTCAGTTGTTCTGCTGCAGCGTGAACCGGGAGTGTGGCCTCTGCACTTGTCTCGCTCCACGGCTGCGTCCCCCCAGGTTAGCCGACACCCTCTGGCTCACGGCAGGCGCCCGGTTGACGTGCACCGCCACCGCTAAGGGACAGGGGACGCTGCACTGACACTGGCTCAGCACTGCCAGAGGACGACCCCCGGGGGAGGGACCGGGGCCCGGGTACAGGGCGGGGCAGGAACACGGAGCGGAAGGCCGGGAACAGTCCCCTCCTGAGGGCCTGAGGCCAATGGAGACGCTTCTACAAAACCCCGCAGTGACTGCGTCCTCCTGCTCCGTGCCCCCCTTCTCTCCGGGAGCCCCCCGCCTGTCCGCTCTCCTCTCCCCCGCTGGCCTGTCCCCCAGGTCCTTACTGCCCCCCTCTCTCTCCGCCCCGCTCAGCCCGGATTCCTCCAGGGGCCCGTGGAGACGCCCGGCTGCTCGTACCTGTGCCCCCGGTGACCTCTGGGTCCCTCCGACGCGAACTCCGGTGTGTGTGTGTCCGTGCCAGTTCTCCCTGTGTAGCCCATCAGTGTTTGCTGTGATGCGTTCAGGTGTTAGCTGCCGTGACAGTCACCGATTTCTAGATCTTTCTCTTGCTCCCTTGAAAACATCAACGTCATGTTGAATTACATGTATTTGCGCTCGGATGTGTGTCTTTTTTTTTAAAGCGTATGTATCTCTAGTCCACCTCGTGCCTGATTTTCCCTCCCCTCAGCTGGGGGAAACACGCCATGGAGAATGAGGTGCTGTTTCTAAGCATGTAATTAACGTGTACACATACACTCCTGCGTGTGCATCTTATGTGAACCCGTAGCACTAAGTAGGTTTCTCGTGGGCGCACGCTCGTTCAGTCAGCGGTGTGTGCGAGGACGTCCTCCGTGTCCGCACACGGAGACGGGCCTCACTGTTGCAAACACACGTGGGCGCTGGTGGCCGACGCCCGGGGACGAGTGGCTGGTGCGCTGCCGCCCGGGGGAGTCCTTCGTTTCTCCTCCTCCTTCCCAGGCAGACGCCTGCGGCGGGGAGCTGCCGTCTGCCTCGCTCCCCACCGGTGAACCCGGTCTGCGGGCCGCATTCCAGCAGCGGCCGGGCGTGCAGAGGGCCCGCGTCTCGACGCGGGGGTGGGTGCCGCCCAGCCCCCCCCCCCCCCCCGGGGACGGGGCTCTGTGCTGTCTGCGCCCCCCCACCCCCAGCCGTGCAAACGCGCGCCTGACCCTCAGCCGTCCCTCACACTGCGGGCCGTGTCTGTCTCCCCACTTCGTGGATGAAAAGATAGAATTGATTGTATCTCCACTTCCTTGGTGTTTGTTAGTGAGCGTGACCTTTCTGCACCGGGACTTCGAGGTGAGAGCCAAGCCGGCCTGTGGTTTGTGTGGAGTCTGTCCTGCTCACCGGGCCGCACCCTTGCCCACGGTCTGCGCCGGAACTGTGAGCCGTACCTAGGAAAGGCCACCGGGTGTCACCAGAGCCCCACGTGGCTGGGTTATTTCCGGGAGTTTCTTCTCCAGAGCAGACAGCGGCGTGACAGCTGACCAAATTCCGTCTTTCCTTGGGAGACTAGGCACTTCTGTGCTGCAGGGGGGAAGAAAGCTGGAAGGACTCAGGGTCAGCGTGACTGTCACCCTACGTTCCGTTGAGAGAAGTTGGTGAAAAGCGACACTTGAAGACCGTTTCTAAACTGCAGCTGAGCGGCAGCACGGATCGGGGGCTGGCCTTTGCCCACCGAGGGGACCTGGCTGCCGGCGCCCCTCCTGCGTCCCAGGCCCCACCGCCCCGGGCAGCCCCGGTCCGTGTTCTGTCTCTAGATCGGCCTCGTCCCAGACACGGGACCACACGGCACGTGTGTGGCCTCCTCCAGCGCCGAGTCTACAGGGTCCACCCACAATGTAGCGCGTGCCGGAATCCCCCTTTACGATGGAGCGGGTCCCACCGTGTGGCTGTGTCTCGTGTCTCCACGTCGCGTGTGTGACCTGCCAGCGTGTCTCCCGTCCGTCTGGAGATGCTTCACGCGTCCTTGCGTGTCCTTTGATGCAAAAGGTTCTGTCTTGATGGAGTTCGGTTTGCTTTTGTCTGTTTCTTGTGCTTTTGGTGTCACTCGAGAAACCGTTACCAAGTCCAAGATCTTCAAGGTTCACGCGTGTATTTTTTCCCAAGAATTGTGTAGTTTTGGCCCTGCACTTAGGTGTTGGGTCCGTTTCGGGCTGGTTTTTGTGTGCGGTTTCATGGTGGTGTCAGCCTCGTCAGCACCAGCTGTTGGGAAGATTGTCCCCTAGGGAAGGGTCCCGGGTTCCTCGTCAAAGCACGACACACCTCAAGCGGGAGGATGGCACCTGCTTCTCACCAGTGTCTCCCGAGCATGGGATCCGAGTGTCGGACGGCCTGCTGGGCGGCTGCGTGTCATCTTTGGGGGCGGGGGGGGCGTCCTATGGGCCCTTTCAGAAACAGGTCTTTGTCGTCTTAGTGTCCAGTTGCCGACAATGTTTGCATATTTTGTGTGCCCATTCTCTGGTTAGATTCGCATATTGTAAATGTTTTTCTCTGTGACTTTGATTTTCTTATGCTTTTTGAGGCATACAAGTTTTTGGTTTTGTCCAGTTTTTCCTTTCCTCCTTTTATGCTTTGTGTTTTTGATATCCTGTCTGAATGTCTCCAAAATCATGGATTTTTTTATTTCCTCGTAGGAGCTTTATGATCCTGGCTTTTATGTTTAGGCCGGTGACCGGTTCGAGCAGTCACGTGTGGGCAGTGAGGAGGAGGAGGTCGGAGGCGCTGGTCTCCCGCAGCGGTGCCGCTCGCTCAGGAGGTGGCTCCTGTGCACTCACGGGGTGACCGTTGTGTCTAGACTGGCGTGTCGCCTGCCTTCATGGAACCTAGTGTTTAGTGACGGAAGCAGATTTTAAAAGGGGGCAGGGGAGGAGCTGCGGCCCCTCTTGGAGTCGTGACCCTGAGCGGTGGGGAACGAGGAAGCCCTCCCAGAAGGGGGGACCGCGCTCTGGGGGAGCCGTGGGGTGGGCCGAGGCTGGGGGCCCCGTGTGTGCAGGGGGTGCTCAGGCTGGAGCCTGCGGGCAGGGGGTCTGGGAGACAGGGCGGGGCCCCTGCAAGACCTCGGGGAGGGCTGGGGGTGCACGAGGGTCCCAGGCAGTGCGCAGCGAAAGTCTGCCCTGTGGTCGGGGGCGCGGCTCTCGGGGGAGTGGGACTGCTCTGGGAACGCGGGCGTGAGCGGTGAGGTTCTGGTCCGGGAAGGGGCGAGTGAAGTGTTCCCAGGTCAGCACTTGAGCCTCATAGGAATGAGCGGGGGAGGGCACCGCGGGGGAAGCCCCCGTGGTTTTCCGCCTGGAGCGCGGAAGGGAGGGGGTGCTGTGGAGAGAGTGGCAGTGACCTGAGGGACGGACAGGCTGCGGGGGGTGGGCAGGGCAGAGGTGCGGCCGCTCTGCGGTGGCCGGGGTCTGGACAGAGGCCCGAGAAGGCCGCCTGGTTGTGGAGGAGAGACGCTCTCCGGCCTCCGTGCCCTGCTGGCTCTGACTGCCTCTGGCCGCAGCCCGCGCCCCCGAGGGCGCCCCCCAGGCCCGCGCGCACACCTGTGGGAGTGCCGCGCACACCCATTCTCACACGAGCCGCAGGTGTGGAAGCAGGGCGCAGAAGGAATGCTTCCTCCGTGCGCGCTCGCCTCTGCTCGCATCCTCAGAACCACTGTGGGGAGAGGACTTGGGAACGTTGCGTTTGCAGGGATGACTGTGGTTGGTCACACGTGTGCTTGCTCTGGGAGCACAGGTGCCCCCTCCGGCGGCCTGTGCTGGTTTCCTCAGCCCCCCCAGCCCCACACGCGCAGGTTCCCTGCCGCCCGCCTTGCCCGCCCGGGCCGCGCTCACTCGGACTCTGACTCTGACTCCTCCCGCCCGCCCGCAGGTGCAGGACGGCGGGGGCGCACGCGGACGAGGCCCTCTTCCCCGCGGCCAGGCCCCCGGAGCACCTGCCCTGCCTGGTGAGAAGGAAGGTGAGTGCGCCCTGTCCGTGCACGCAGCGGCGGCGGCTGTGAATACACCATTTTGTCTTATTCCTAGAAAAGTGAAGCTTTCAGGAATGGACCCAAGACTTGTCTTTAGTATCACCTTTGGTGCTTCTGTGTCACGTCGCGTTTTCTAGTGGGTTGGAGATTCCTTTATCCTATCAGTGATTTGATGGGACTGGCAAGAGATGGAGGGGCCGGTGTTGGCCAGGAGCGGACTGAGGTTTGTCGGAGACCCACCGGCAGACCGGCCTTGGCCCCTTGCTGCCTACAGTACCTCCTACCCTCCCGCGCACCGTGGTGAGGCTGGCACGCAGGCCGGGTGTGCTTCCCTCGTAAACGTTCGGGGTCACCGCTGCCCCAACCCCAAGGAAGGCCTCCGCCACGGGCATCTCTCTCCAGGGCCGGGGAAGCCAGCTGCGGGGCGGGACGCGCAGGTGCGGGGCGGGGGCTGGGCCCCGGGGTGCTTCTGCAGCGGAGAAACTGGGGGAGACCACCGTGGAAGGAGCATTAGGGGGCGCGTTCCTTCTGGGGGCGCGGAGACTCGGAAGCCAACTATCCCAGGACTCCCCCTTGGGATTCGGGCCCGGGGCTCCACGGGTCCCAGGGTCACTGGTTCTGTCGCGTCTTGTCCCTGTGGTGAGGCTTTTGCCTTCCGCGGGCTGAGTGGGGTCGCTGTGACTTAAGGACGAGGCCAGGTTAGATCTAGTGGGTTTTCACCGGTGGTGACAGGATCACTGATGTTGTGTTCTGTTGCCACATCGTGATTTTTCTGTGGGGCAGGCAGATAACATGAGAGTAGCAAAAAATAAGGAGAAAGAGACTGATTTTGTTTAAGAATTTTCGTGGAAATTAAGATGCTGGGTACTGAAAAGCCTCCGGAGACAGAGCTACGTGTACAGCCAGCCAGTTACTCAGTCTAAAGTTCTGCTCCTATCTTCACAGGTGTGTGAGCTCACGTAATTGCAAAAAAAAAAAAAAAAATGCCTCTTTAAGACGGTTTTGTTAATGTTATAAAAGATACCCAAAATGTACACAAAACAATTTTTTTCCTGTCTTGCATAGTTGCAACACTGTATATTACTTTTACGTTCTTTTTCTTGTACAGCATAAGTGTATGCAGCCCAAAGATTTTACTCCTAAGACACCAGAAAATGATAAGAGACTTCAAAAGAAATTTGAGAAGATGGCAAATGAGCTACAAAGGCAAAAAACAACTCTAGGTAAGCAGAGACATGCCGCATGGTCCTTTGCGTCTGTGTTTATCCGACTGGTTCAGTCCGCCCAGTGACAGTGGCACCCCGGGAGGGCGCAGCTCGGGCTGCAGTGGCTCCGGCCCAGGACAAGGCAAACAGACGGCAGGTCGCCTGCAGACCTGGCAGTGGACCTCGGAGGGTCTTACAGTTAAGCTCCTGGATCACAGCGTTCGTTTATTGGTGGTTTCGGTGTGCGACATAATGAGTCAGCATTTGTATACACTGTTAACATCCGGTGCATTTGTATGCATTGTTGACCATACGTTGTTACAATTTTTCCCCTTTTTTTTTTCCCTTCCGGGGGAGGAAGCTTGTAAAGTGTATTCTCTTAGCCAGTCTCAAACATTCAGCACAGTATATTTTTTCCGCCCACCTTAGTGTCTTTGCTGGGGCTCGAAAGCAAAAGACAGATTCTATAAGTTTCTGGGGGCGCAGGCGCCCTGGTGAGGTGGCGAAGACCCAAGCACGTCCGGGCTGGGTCGGACAGAGCAGGTGCGGACACGTAACTGACACAGAGAGTGTGACCGCTCGCTCCGACCCCAACTCTGCCTGCACGGAGGTGTCCCTGCCTTGACTCCCTGCCCCTGGTGGTGAGAATGCTCCCTTCCTCCTGCAGGAAGGAGGGTACCCAGTCTCCTCCTGCAGGAAAGGGGGGTCGGCAGAGTGCGCCTCTGGCACTCGCTGTGGTGGCACTGCCTGCAGCTCGGCACAGACCTGATGCCACTCGCGCGTGCTCTGGGGGCGCTCGGGGGCCCGGCTTCTGCACGGCTTCCCCTTCCCTCCGGTCGCGCCGTCCTGGCCCCACCGCTCCTCTGCGTCTCGGTGTCTTTGTCACGCCCGGGGACACGACACCGTGGGCTTGGGGGAGGTGAAGGAGACACTGGCTTATTAGCAGGGGCCGGGCGCAGGCCGTTTCTCAGCAGTCCTGGTGTAAAAGGGGAGGGGAGGCTGCGGCGGGTGGCGGGCAGGGTGCTCCTCCTGAGGAGGAGTCCGTGTGTTGCGGTGGGAGGGCGTTTCCTTTAGCCTGAAATCGGGCTCCTGCCTGCTTTCAGAGGACGACGTCCCCGTGCTCCTGTTCGAGTCCGGCGGGTCGCTGGTGTACAGCCCCACCGCTGCCGCGGCGGTGCCCGGCGGCCACCACCTGGCCATGGAGAAGAGGCTGCGGGAGATGAAGGAGAAAAGGGAAAATCTCTCCCTCACCTGTGAGTGCTCGCGTCTTACAGAACCAGCGTCCCGAGAATAGGTGACCAGGTTGTGCTGGGAAGGGTTTCAGTTTCCCCTTCACCTGCTGTCAGCAGCGCAGCCCACCTCCCCCACCAACCCGGAGCCTGGGCCCATGCCGTGGGCGGAGTGTGCGGCCTGCTGGAGCCGCGCCGCTGCGGGCGCAGAGGCGGCGGCTGCTGCCCGTCCTCGAGGGGGAGGTCCGCAGCCCGGCCGCCGGCTCCCCGGAGCAGCTGTCGTCTTTGTGGGGCTGCGGCAGGCCGGCTTTCCGCGGTCCCCCCCGACCCCGACCGCCATCGTCCAGGGGTTCGGGCCTTTCTGCCGCGGGACTCACGCGGGCTGCTCTCCGCTGGTCTCACCCTTGGTGGTGACCCCGAGTCGGAGTTCCAGGCGTGTGCGTGGCGCGTCGGGACGGAAGCCCGGGGCCTGGTCGGTGCGGGGAGGGGGGGAGCGGGAGGAGGACGGGCTGCGTCCGAGAAGAAGGCCGGCGTGGCATCTGACGAGACGCTTTGGTTTCTTGCAGCTTCCCAGATGATGGAAAACTTGGATGATGACAACTCTCCGTGCGAAGCGTCTCTGAACGTGTCCCATGATGCTTCGTGTTCAGGTACATTGTCTTCTGTGATACAGTCAAGGTTTAAGAGTGTTACGATTTTCTTATTTGGAAATTCACCCGGTGCGAAGACTAGTCTAGGATCCCTGAATTGCACCCTGAAATTAGGCATGGTGATAAAAAATAAGTCTTGCGGTAAAATTAAGACATGAGAAAGTACATGGTTCCTGTGGCTTTTCTCTTAGACATTTGCTTTCTCGGCACAGAATCAATTGCTCATTAAAAAAAATATTGTAACCTGGCGTGACCTAACCTGCTCGCACTCCAAACACGCAGTGCAGAGGGCGGTGAGAGGGCCACAGCACAGGGGCGTCTCTGCGTGCGGGGCGAACGCGGGGGGCGTGGTGGGACAGGGCGCGTGGTGGGACGGGCCCGTGACGCACTCACACGTGGTCCCAGAAACCGGGGTCACCAGGGCCGGCCCCTTCTTCACTGGTAACCGTGCACGCTCCCCACGACTCTTTAGAAGCTGATCCTCCGTCCCTGTTTTCCAGACGACTCCTTTGCTGGCGGCCTGCAGTCGTCTTTCGATGAGCTGTGTGGCCGCTCGGGCCGCGGGCGTCAGGACCGGAGCCCGGGAGGATGCGCGGGGGACACTCGGAGTGCCGCGCGCGTTTCCGCGCCTGCCATGGGGACCAGCAGCGCGCATCCGTCCGCCTCGCCCCCGCACCGCGGCGGGTCGACGCCTCGGCAGCCCGCGCGCCCTCTGCCGGAGGGAGGACGAAGTGGCCGGAAAGACCCTGCGGGCGGAGCGGCCACCCCTGGCGCGGGGCCGTCTGGGCGGGGCGCGAAGCCGTGTGCTGAGAAGTGCGGCCCGTCCCCTGCGTCCCCTGCACCACCGGGAGGCCGCCGTGGGGGGCGCTCACGGCCCGGGGGCTCCTCGGCCAAGAGAGCGAGAGCGTCCCCGCGCCCAGAGTCGCCGCCGCCGCCGCCGCCGCCGCCGGGAGGGAGCCCCAAGAGAAGGAGGTGCAGCGGGAAGTCCCCCGCGCCCCGGCTGCGGCTGTTCCAGGCGGAGAAGCCCCTGCAGCCCGCGGCCGGGCCTGCGGTCGAGCCGCCGGACCTCTGGGCGTCCTTGTACGAGGACTACTTTTCCCCCGAGAATCTCAGGGAAAGGCACTCGGAGACGCTCCTTCCCGGGTGGCAGTCCCCCTCCAGCCCCGCGCGGTTCCGGGGCGCCGTCGGCCTCTCCAAGAGGGAGAGGAGGAGCGTCCTAGAGACGTCCGACTTCTCCTGCATCCGCAAGAGCCTCACGTCCACGTCCGCTGACGCCGCCAGCTCCCCCGCACCCACGGGCGTCCAGCCGGACACACCTCCGGGCGGCGTGACCCCTGAGACCCCACCCGCTGTCCAAGAGGCCGCAGGGTGTGGCCGCCGGGGCGAGGCTCAGCAGACAGAGGGTGCCGGCCCGGACGGGACTCGCTGCCCCTGCTCCAGTCCCTGCGCCGACCCAGAGCCCACACGTCCTCCGCCTGCGCGTCCCGGCGACGCCACCCCCGCGACAGGAGGCGCCGGAGAAACCAGGGACTCGGTGGGCGTGTCCGCAGGCGGGCCGACAGGAGGCCCCACCCCCAGAGCACTGCGTCCCTGCGAAGGTGAATCTCCTCGGAGTGGCGGCGCGCAGCTCTGTGGGTGGTGACTGACGTGCGCAGGGGTCCGGGGGAGAGGGGGGGGCCCTCGCCGGAGGGCGGAGGGCGAGCCTCGAGCCCCCAGGGGCTGTGCGGGGGCGCCACGGGGCAGCACACGCAGCGGTCCGTCCTTCCCGTGGCCAGGCGTTTTCGGGGTGAAGTGTGTCGTCTTTTTTAGAGTTTCAGAGTGTGGGCCGGCGTCTGCGGTTGTCGGCCGGCGTGCCGTGAGAGCGGTGGAGACGTGCAGTGCCCGACCTGGCGGGGGCGCTGGCCGCCCCGACCCGGGGTAGCCAACCCGCACGCGGCCCCGGTGGCTGCGCGTGTGGACCGAGACGGAACTGAATCCACCTAAAACCTTTGCCGTGTCCTCGTCAGTGTTTCTCAGTGTCTGTGTGTTTACTGTGCGGCCCAGGACAACTCTCCCTCCAGCGCGGCCCCGAGTCGCCACAGGCTGGGACACCCCTGCCGGAGCGTCAAATAAAAACATGGAAACAGCCCACACAGTGATGTCCGTCTGGTGTGAGTGGATCCCAGTTACACCCGCGTGTGTGGTGGGATCAGCGGAACAGGAGGTGTGGGTCGTGCTGCAGAACTTGAGTCGGGGTGTGTGTGTGTGTGTGTGTGTGTGCACGCCACGAGATGCGGAGGGCGGAAACCGCTGCTAACGCATCAGCGGAGCCATGAATACACTTTATTTTTAATGGGCTCTGTGTCAGGGGCCGGTGAGTTTTCCGTGTGGTACATCAGTAATCAGTTTAGGCTTGTGGGCCAGGAGGGGAAATCAAGGTATGTAAGTACTTTCTCGATGAGGAAGAGACATTCTCACAAAACGCGGAATTGAGGTTTCTGTGCTGGAAGTCTGCGGGAAGAACGGGGGTCTGTTCTGGGGAGAGCTGTAACCGTTCACTTGACCGGGGTTCGAAGGGACTGCTCCCCTCAGAGTTGCTGGCCAGTGTGGTTCAGCCTGGCCCGTGGTGAGAGCGTATGCATTTCGCCTTGGAAAACGCCCTCTGCACCGGTCGGGACCGCAGGGTCCGCGCCTCCGCAGCCCCGCACAGCCTTCTGGCACGAGTGCCCTTTGCTCTGGCATCCCGCTCTGGCCGGCGCTGCCGGAACTCACTCGAGCCGGTACATATGTCCGCATCGAGTTTGCGTGGAAGCAGCGACCGCAGTCGCGCTCACGTTTGATACCTCGGGACAGGAAGTGCGTGACACTGCCTGATGTCCCTTTATGGTGGGCGGGGCCCTCCACACACCCCCCTTCCCCCCATGGCTGCACCTGGTCCCCCCAGCCCCAGTGTCGGTTTCACTGCCAAGTGCAGAGAGCCACGGGCCCCCGAATCGGCACACCGCTGGCCCCTCCTTTCCCAGGAGCGACGGGGGCCGCAGTCCCGGCAGCCCCAGGGCCGTGGGCAGGCTCGGGGGCAGCGACCCTCCACACCTGCCCTGCCCCTTGTCCACCGTGGGTGGCGGGGTTTTCCACGCCAGCGCACCCGGGTGCCCTGCCTGAACCATGGGGCCGAGCCCAGCTGTCCGGTTCTGTTTCACAGGGAACAGCCACCAGTGTCAGCAGGGGGTGACGGGCACTCTCCTGCGGGCTGGCTCCGCCCACCAGACACGCAGACGTTCCCTGGTGGCGGCCGCCCCCAGAGCCGGCCAGCAGGCTGGCGTCCGGGACTTGTCCTTAGGGTCCCTGTGGGGAGGCGGTGTCCTGGGGGCCTGTTCTTCTCCGGACCGAGCCTTGCCACAGGGCACCGGGTAGACGCCCTCTGACCCTGCAGCTCTCACGGGGCCAGAGAGGGGCCGAGGTTGGCTGTCCCCCCGCCCCGCTCCCCCGGGGATACCAGCCGTGGCTCACTGTCGATTCTCACGCACGAGGGTGGGAGAGGCTGTCGTGTCTTGGCCAACCCAAGTGCATTTGAACGCGGGAATTCAACCGAGAAGCACTTCTGACACCGCCAGGCTGACCGACGGGCTGCCGAGGTTGCCCGTGACAGCTCCCTGCCCTCTGTCGGTGTGGCCGGTTACCGGCGTCTGCTCTGGGCGGGGGGACTCGGAGGGCTCGGCTCCGCGGCCAGTGTCCGGGTTGGGCTGCCGGCCGGCAGTCCCCGTCCTGCGCGCCACACCGCACTGTGTCCCCCCCACCCTGACCCGGCGTCTGCCTCAGTGTGCCGGTCCCCGGTCCCCGAGAAGGGGGGGACGCCTGGCGGCCGCTGCCACTCTGGGGCAAGAGACCTGGAGGCCGCCCCCCGGCTCCGCTGGGGACAGGCCGCGGCAGCCGCGCGGGTTCGGAGGGACGGCCCCGAGACCAGACAGGTGGCGGCGGCGGGTGCTCACAGTCCTCCTTCGCAGCAGCTCCCCGGGGAGCAGGCCGGCTGCTTCGGGAGGGAAGGCGGGAGTAAGGAGCCCGTGTAAGTACAGCAAACATCGCTCACTCGACTGGAGGTTCCTGGGGTGTCTCCGCCGCTCAGCATCCGGTGACACCACGCACCACCTGATGAGTGTCTTCCTGGTGTGTGTGTGTGTGTCTCGTGGTGGGTGCCGGTCCGGGGTGGAAGGTCCCCATTTCTCCTCCGTAGACGGAGAGCTTAGTGCTGCAGACTGTTTCTGGGATAACTCGCCCTCACCCGAAGCCGGGACAGGACCGCCCTCTCGGCGGGCAGAGCTGGGGTTCGGTCGTCACACAAGAACCGAAGAACTGGAGTTGGAGTCGTGCCTGAGCTGCAGGCACTGTTCTCCTTGTTGAGGGGCCGACGGGGGGTGCCGGCGCGGCACAGTGTCGCCCAGCAGCCACAGTGGCTCCTGACCTCGAGTTGGGCAGACTGCGTGGGCCGCCGGCCTGGAAGGAACTGGAAGTTGGAGCGGGCCTCAGAGCTGGGAGTGTGCAGTCAGCGCTGGGTTGAAAGGGCGGTGGCTTCGCGTAGCCAGTGTGCAGAGAGAAACTCTGAAATCTCAACAGCTTCCTTGAGCTGCACTAGTGTCCAGTGCAGGGGAAGTCCTGACGCATCCCCCGTCTGCTTGGGTCGCAGGTGCTGAGGACCGGCCCACCAGGCGCGGCGCCGTGGACGGCTCGCCGGCCGGCCGCGAGGACCCCAGCGGACCGCACGAGGCCCCGAGGAGGAGAGGGAAAGGCCAAAAGGTTGGTGTGAAAAGACAATGCTAAACTTCCAACGCTGCTGCGTCCTCTTGTCTGACTCGGGGTCCCCCACTTGGGGTTTGGGGTGCGTGGGTGTTGGGCACCGTGGCCGCGGTCCCGGTACAGAGGGGTGCAGAGCGGATGCGTTTGTCCGGGAGGCCGGGCCTCCCTCCAGGGCGCGAGGTTTTCCCGGGCAGGCCGCCCTGCGGCCTCTGTGGGGGAGCAGTGACCCCACGCCAGCCACGCTCAGCTCCCTGCAGGCCGGGGTGTCCGACTTGTCTCACCGGGGCCACAGCAGCCTCGCGGGTGCCCTCAAGGGGCCAGAATAACGGTAGGACTGCATAAAGGGAACAGCTCCTCAACTGTCAAGGAGCTGAAATCACATCCGGCCCTTGAAGGCACCCGGGAGGCTGACATGACCCCCGGTGACAATGAGTCGGACACCCCTGCTGTGGGCCTTTCTTCTTAGAAGTCCTCCCCTGTGGGTGGTTCTCCATCGCTTCCAGACGGGAAGGAGGGGGAGAGGGAGAGGGAGGGGGAGAGACGCTGATGCAGGAGAGGAGCACTGATCGGCCGCCTCCCGTGCGCCCGCACCAGGGATGGAGCCCGTGGTCTGGGGCTGAGCCGGAGCCGCCACCTCTGTCTCGGGTGTGCCCCAGCCGGGGCTGCACTCACCCCTGAAGTGGTCCCTTTCCGAACAGCGTGCGGGCGGGCGCCCGGCGGGCTGCTGGTTCAGGACGCCCCCGCAGCTTGAGAGGACTCCCGGCGCGTGCAGAGGGCGGGGCGTTGAACAGAAGAGGGGCCGAGAGAGCCCCAGCCGGGAGGCAGCGAGGCATCGCTGCACAGCCTTCGTTCTCGCGCGGAAATGGGGGGGGGGGGCGGCACTTCAGACAGGTCCCAGCACGGGCGGTGCGCGTGTGGGTGTGAGTGCAGCCGCAGGCACACCGGCGACTCCGCCCGAGGAAGCGCGGCCAGCACAGGGCCGGACGCCGGACGCCGCACTCAGCGTCGCCGTGAGTCTCCGCTTCGGAGTGAGGCTGTGCTGCTGCTCTGCAGAGCGGTCTCCTTTTCAGTTTTACATGAGTCACTGGTCACACTGTGGCTCCGCTCGTCTCAGAGGCCCGGGTCTTTCTCAGCGCAGGTCAGGTTCCCCGGCTGTTTCTCCTGGTTTTTGTTTTCGGCGGCTGTCGCTGTGTCGGTTCAGTTTTAACGGAAGGCGGGGACAAGGGAAGGGAGACCCTCGTGGGGCCGCCTGGCGGGCTCCGAGGGAGGGACCCGTGTCTGGTCCCCAAAGGAGCAGCAGGGGCCCGGGGATCCGAGGAACGTGGTCGCTCCTCCCACCCCAGTCCCGCCCGCTCGGGTCCCGGGCCGGGCGTGGGGACCCGGGGCCCGTGGCAGAGCGGGGAGAGGCAGGAGCCCCCGCGGTCCGAGCAGGCGTCTTCGAAAGGCCACACCAGAGGGCCCGCGCGTGGGAGCTGGCGTCTGTCCTGCCGCCCGCCCCTCCAGCCGCCCCGTGCCTCCCTCCCCTGCCCCTCAGTGGGCTGGGATGCGTCACCGTCGTCCGTCCGTCCGTCCGTCCGTCCGTGGGGGAAGGTGCTCTGGCCGGCCAGACGCAGTCAGGGCCAGCCCTCCCGGCCGCCCTGCGACTCGCCCCGTTCTTCCTCCAGCACTTCCCCCTCTTCGGGGCGGTGTGCTGGGCCCACGGGGACTGTCCCCACCCCGGCCCCGCTTCTCCACGGCCCCCAGTTCCTGGAGTGGGGAGTGGACCCTCACACGAGAGCTGTCCCCCCTTACAGTGTCCATCTTAGTCCACCTGGGCCGGCACGGACAGGGCGGCTCGTCACATCAGTTTCATAAGCCACAGGTTGCATTTCTCTGGAGACACTTTATTTTTTTTAAAGATCTTACTTATTTTATTTTTAGGCAGAGGGGAAAGGTTAGAGAAAGCCACGGAGAGAAACATCAGTGTGTGGTTGCCTCTCATGCAGCCCCCACTGGGAACCGGCCCACAACCCAGGCAGGTGCCCTGACTGGGAATTGAACCGGCGACCCTCTGGTTCTCAGGCCAGGGCTCAGTCCACTGAGCCACACCAGGCGGGCGGAGACAGTTGAAATGACAGAGCTGCCAGGTAGCTAGGTAATGATGGTAGGTCCTCAGGGAGCGACGTGGAGGTGTTCTCCGGACTCGGTCTCACGCCAGGCCCGATGCTCTGAGCACTTTCTCTGTGGTCGGAGTCCACAGGGGCAGGGCTGGCCACGGCCGGGTGCTCGGCGGACATCTGTCCGCGACGGGGCCGGAGCAGGGCCTTGGCAGCTGTGCGGCCGGTCCGGCTGCAGTTCCTCCTACGGGAAAGTGGTCTCCCTGTTTACCACTGAGTGGTACCAAAACCCAGACCACGTCAAAGAATGTTTTATTTTTAAAGGTTTCTCTTTTATCACTAGTAACACAAGTGCATTTGTTTAGTTTGGTCTGCCTTTGATCTCACTGGAACAATATTGACTAGGCTATTTTCCAAACGTGCGCGGTCTGTCTCTCCCCTCCCCTTTCCTCTCGCCACTTCAGGACTTCCAGAACGTGCTTTCGCTAAGATCAAACGCAGTGTTTCCTGCGAGTGAGTTGTTTCTTGCTGGTCAGTGGGTTGTTTCACGTGGGTGCCTCTCTGTGTTGGCCGGGGGTGCCGTGCGGTGCTGTGGGGCCGTGTCTGGGCACGTGCTCGTCCTCCCCCGGGCAGAGCCCCCTCTGAACAGCGGTGTGGGGAGCAGAGAGGGGTGGGTTTTCTCCTTTCTGTCCAGGCGGTCGGTGAGAGACCTCCCGAGATGCTCGGATGTGTGAGAAGAGGCGACAGAGGGACCCTGGGAACCTGAGACTTCACTCTGCGGCCCCAGCCAAGCGCAGCTGGTTGCTGCGACTTCGCTCCTGCTCAGGGCCCCCGCCTCGGTCGCAGGGTTTCCCCGGTCGGGGTGCGCACGAGAGGCAACCTGATCAGTGTCTCTTTCTCTTTCTCTCGTCCCTGCCGAAGATGCATAAACATGTCTTGGGTGAAGATTAAAAATAAAATAAAATAAATACATTGCAGATAATAAAATATAAAGGCTTCCACCTTGCCTTGAGGCTGCACATGGAATAGAGCGCATACAGTACGATTTTTTGTATTTTTTTCACTTCTGAGAGCTTCGTACTTACAACTAAAACGTTAAGACACGTGCTTTTTGCTTGCGTCCCTCGTCCTGTCTGGCGAAGGCAGTGAAAGCCCCGAGCGACCCGTGGATACAGGCGGCCTCGCTGGCCCTCCCAGCCGAGGCCGCGGCGCCAGAGCCGGGCGCGGGAGGCTGGGCCCCGCACGGACGTGGTCCACTCACGGTTTAGTGCTGACGGAGGGTGTCTCCCTGCCTCCCTGCTGACAGCGAGGAGGCCCCTCTCCCCCCGCCCTCTCCCCTGTCCCCGGGGGCCGGTCTTGTCCCCTTGTCTCTGGGAGTCTGTGCCCAGCCGGCCGCCACGGGCTGCAGTGCGGCCCTTTTCTTCCGCTGGTGCTGCTGCTGCTTCCTGTTGACATAGTGACCTGCGTCACAGGACATCGGGGCTGGTTTCGTCTGTCCAGTTACTGTTGACAGACCATAGAACGTTAGATTCAGGTGCACAGCAGAGAGATGAGACGTTTATACAGAAGTTGTGGAGTGGGCAGGTCCTTACTGAACTGCCAGTTTCCGTCCTCCTGCCCCGTGACGAAGAGAACGAAGTGTGACTGTTGCTAATCGCACCATCCCTTGCCCTCGACCGAGGGAAGCGATCCCTACAGGCGCCGCGTGCGGACAGAAAGCTCGGACTTGCACCTTGCTTCTCGGTGGCCGTCACTCATGCTCCCTGTCCCCGCTGTCACCCACGCACACGCCGCCACCTCTCACATGCCCGGGGTCCCTCCTCAGAGGCCCCCCTCGCGCCCCAAGTGGAGGCTCTACCCCACCTCCTGGTTGCCTTGCACCCAGCCCCTCCTCTTGGTCGTCGTCGTCGCTGCAGCGAACCACCCTTGAGCTGCAGCAGCAGAACATCCCGAGGTACGGGAAGTGTGCCGAGAGCGTGTCAGGGCATCAGGCCAAGACCCTCGGCGAGGCTGGGTTAACGAGGTCCCAGGCGCCCCTGTTTTACAAAACTACGTCTGACGTGCCTCCTCAGCTGAAGGCCGTCGACCCAGAAGAGGCTGGATTTCAGGTGGAGAAGCGAGACCCCGAGGAGGGGCAGCGAGACGGTGACACTGCACTGTGGCTGTCTAGCACGAGCACAGAGCGGCCAGGACGTGGGCAGTGGAAGGACTGTCTGTCACGTGGGCCAGCCCGGACACGTGTGGGGCGCCGCGGTCGGCTCACGGCCACACTGCCCAGCGGACTGCGTGGGAAGTGCATCCTGCGAGTCCCAGAACGGGTGGAGGACACGCGTCTGTTTTTAAAATTATGTGCACACACACTCCCGCAGAAAGGATGTTTGGCTTGGAATATATACCAAATCATTAAACACTTGTAATTTCTGGCTGGTAGAATTACAGGGGAATTTATGTGTGTAATGATACATAGCCAGAGCCTTTAAAATTTTTTTTGGTCATAAGCATGTGTTTTACCTACGTAAGTAAGGGACATATTTTAAAGCTGTTATAGGCCCTGGCTGGTGTGGCTCAGTGGATTGAGCCCTGGCCTGAGAAACAAAGGATTACCGGTTCAATTCCCAGTCAGAGCACAGGCCTGGGTAGCAGGCCAGGTCCCCAGTAGGGGGCGCACGAGAGGCAACCACACACTGATGTTTCTCTCCCTCTCTTCGTCCCTTTCCCTGTGTCTAAAATGAATAAAATCTTTTTTAAAGTACTGTTATTGAAATCGAGTGTAAGCACAAGGAATGTAGTCAGTAATGTTTTAATGACGGTTCGGTGCCAGGTGGGCACTTGAGCCGTGTGGGGAACCACTTTGGAGTGCACACGCTTGCCTGGCCGCTGTGCCGCGCACCTGAAGCTAACGCGAAATCCTGGGGGCTGCAAACTGTGACTGAAGAAACCCGGTAGAAACTCCGCAATCCCAGCGAACAGCAGCTGCGGCCCCTGAGGAAGCAGCCCCGGTACCTGCGCTCCTAAGGGCAGGGCACTGAGGGCTTGGACGGACTCACCCAGTGGACACACCTGGTCATTGTGTCCCTCTGCCCGAGACAAGGACGTGGCCCTGAGAAGCCCTGGGTGACGGGCCCCTTGGCAGAGCCCACGCACGGGTAGCCCGCGGGTCCACTTGCCAGTGGTGGTGGGAGGGGCTTCTTGGGAACCTGGTCTTCCCCGCGGCCCCCCGCCCTGGGCTCTTCCGGACGGCTGTCAGAGTGGCTTCTCGGCGTCCACCTCCCGGGCTGTCAGGGTCCAGGAGAACGCAGGTGTCGCGTGCACTGAGCCCGGCACAGCTAACGCCCCGGCTTATTACAAAAGCATGAGCATGTGGTTCTGTGACACAGCCATGTCACACTCAAGCACACCATGCGACACTTTAGGTGAACTGCAAATTAAACCTATAAATTACTGCACCCTTTTATCACCCTGTCAACCACACGCAAGCAGGCTTTACTTCTGCGGGACCGTGTGTGTGTGTGTACATATGCATGCTTACATGTTTATTTTCAATGATGTAACTTTTCAAGACACCTACTAAAATTTGTTTCTGTGGGAAAACACGTTTTGTATTTTTGACCGTTTCCCGTTCCTTCCCTCTCGAAACCCGCAGCCGACGAGGACGCTGGTCATGACGAGCCTGCCGCCCGAGTGAGTACTCCCCGTCTCGGCCGCGTCCCCCTCGCCGCGCCGGTGCTCCCCGTGTGCCCCGAGCTGCCGCGCCGCCTGCCGCGCTACCCGGCAGCCCGTGCTGTGTCGCTGCTGCTCCGGACGACGGGCGTCCGAGTCCGATGGTCGCTGGACATTGAAAACGGGGCCACGTCAGAGGTGGCATGGGTCTGCTGTCCCCCTCGCTGGCTGGCCTGCCGGCTTCGTGTGCCCACCCCGCACCGAGAGAGAGTGCAGGAAGCAGGGCGTCGCTGCCGCAAGCGTTTCCCCCGTGCTCCGAAGCACACCCCACGGCGCGTGCAGATGACGGTCTTCCCCGACTCGTGGAGGCGCACGCGGCCGCCTGCCCGCTCTGCGCACCTGCCTCAGGCCTTTCTCGCCGCGCAGCTCGCCCCGCACCTGCAGCGCCGCCTTCTCTGGGACGGGTGCCGAATCCCCGTTTACGGGGAAACCGTGTGTCCTCACAGCAGCCCTGGGTTGTTAGCCACGGTGGGGCGTCTCACTGACGAGTGGGCCGCAGAAAGGGCACAGGTCCCGCCCGTGTTCAGAAGCCTACCCTCGTCCTGCCCGCAGCTCGCATGTGGATGGCGGAGAGTCCGCCCCGCCCGGCCCCTGGGAGGGGCAGTGCGCCCCAGGCTGTGCTCGCGTCCCTGGAAATAACACGTCGCACGTTCTTCTCAGGAGCGTGACACAGAAACGAACATCGGACGTGCGGATGCTGTTTCTAAAAGCCTGGGGTTTTGCCCCAAGCCTGGGGTTTTGCCCCAAACCCAGAGACATTAAAGAGCTACTTCTTTGGGAGGCTTGAAAACCAAACTCCTCACGTAGGCCTGACAGTGTCTCTGTCTCGACCCCCCCCGTTGCCCACTTCCTGCCCGAGGCGAGCACGAGACCCCGATGCCCTGTTGTGTCTCTCTGGGGCTCGGGGCCCAGCGGCTCTGCCTGCCGAGTGTCCCGCACGGGTTCGCGGCTGGCGTCGCACCAGCCGGCTGCCTCCAGGACAGCGTGTGAATAGGCCAGTAAGGGGATGACCTGCTCCCGAACCACAGCCAGTCGATGCCGCTGTCCCCCTGGTGAGACGCTGTCCCCCCAGGCCAGGGAGGAGAGAGGGCCGGGTCCACGTCTCACCGAGGTGACCTTTTGCCCGAGCAGGCCCCGGGGAGGGGGAGACCCAGTCTTACCCGACGTCCAGCCCCCGGTGCACAGAGTGCAGGTCCTCACCTCGGGGCCCTGGCCGGGGAGTGGTGGCCCCAGTGCTGGCCGGCACGCTGGCGGCTCCAGGGGCTTACTCCTTGGGCGGTGCATGGCCCATGCCCCTCCCTCCCGGGAGCACCTCGCCAGGCGGGGGCTGGGACCCCGCGGCACCCGAGAACTGCCGTGGCCACGCAGGGGCACGTCCCGCAGGGGCCTCAGGGAGCGCTTGGGTCGGCCAGGCGTGCCTTGTCCAGGACGAAACCCTCCGGTAGTCCTGAGACTCGGTGTCCACGGTCTGATTGCCCCCCGGCCGTGGCTGCTGCTCCCGGGGGCCCCATCAGTGAGCCCCCAGCTGCCGGCTGCCGGCTGCCGGTCACCGACAGCAGCTGAGACGCTGACACCCTGGCACGCTTGTTCTTCAAACCCACCCACCGGGTTTTTGTTCCGTCTTTACATCAACATGTGGGTTTGAAATCCCCTTGAACCCGCGCACAGCACGTTAGATGCCATACCGATGAGCCACACTTTGAGAAGACACTTGTGAGCACGTGCAGCCCGTGGCTGGTGGCTGCCGGGCTCTGAGCCGGGGGAGTCCCAGGTGCACGGACCCGGGGGACGCTGCGGAGCTGCGGGGTCTCGCGGCTTTTGGCTCTGCCCCGCTTTCCTCTCCTCTGCTCCGCTCTGTGTTGCGTTGCTTTGCTTTGTGTTGCTTCGCCTTGCGGCCCCGCCCCACCCAACTCTCCACTCTCCACAACCCCAGGAGGTGCAGGTCTCCGGTGGAAGTGGGGATGGGACCCGGGGCTCGAGCGTTTATCTTCTCGGCCCACGATCTCTACGAGTTTGGAACTGTGATATGGTTCGCCCCTGTCACTGACGGGGAGAGACAGGTCTTGGCACCCACGTTCCCAAGGTCACGGGGGAAGAGAGCTGCTGAGGGCCGCCTCGGAGGGTGGAGGGCGGGGGGTGTGAGTGCTGGTCTCTCTGAGCGCGGACCCAGCACCCGGTTCCCCCTGCCATGCGTGTCCTTGTCGGAGAGGGGAGAACCTACTTCTCGTGTGTGTGTGCTGGGGAAGCCCCGCGCGTCTCTGCCTCTCCCCGGCGTTTCCAGAACTCGCCAGGAGAGAGGGAAAAGCCGGGTGTGGGAATGGAAGGTGTTACTAGAAAGGCAGACAGGAGGAACGGAGAGTCGTTTGGGAGGGAAGTTAAACTGGAAGACTTTTTTTAAAGGTACTTAAGGCCGTAGCGTAATGACATCGCAGACGGTGGACGTGACCGGCTCTGTGCCGGCGAGGGGCCCCGGTCACTTTCGCCCTAAGAGTGGACGGGGCCGCTGGACGACAGGGACCTTCCCCTCCCCTCTCAGTCCACGAACCGTGTGTCTGACTCGCAGGAAACAAACGTCGCATTTTCCCGGTGAAAGGCGCCACTGACAGCCTGGTCCTGAGCAGGCGCAAACTGCCCCCGCGGGTCGGAGGGGACCACCGCCGCTGCAGTGGGGGCAGCCTGGGGCCGGGGCCGGGGCGCCCGCGCCCCCACCCCCACCCCCACCCCCACCCCCGGGCGAGCCCCCGCCTGCCTTCTCGGCCCAGAGAACAGGCCCTTGGGGTTGAGATCTGAGGTTCTCTGACCCCCCCGCATTTCAGGTTATGGGTCGCAGACATTCAGACAGGACCACCGTAGCGGGAACCAGTGCAGACTCCCAGGGTCCTCAGGTTTCTCAGAAACTCTGTGTGATCTCGGTGGTGCTGCTGCTCAGCGGGAAGCGTCTGTGCCGCTGACTTCTCTTCTCCCCGTTCGCAGAAAGCAGAGCATCGTCCTCCAGGTGGTCGCCAAGCTGAAGGGCTTCTCCGTGGTGCGCGAAGTGTGCGGCAGCACCACACACGTGCTGGCCGGGCAGGCGCTGCGCACCCTCACCGTGCTGCTGGGTCTGGCGCGCGGCTGCTGGATCCTGTCCTACGAGTGGGTAAGCCTGGGCGGGGCAGGGCAGGGCGGGGCCACGGGGTGGGGGTGGGGCCGGCGGGGGGGGGGTTCACTCCGTGCCCATCGCGTGCGTTCCCGTGGGCGGGGAGAGCCCTCCGGCGTATCCCCTGGCCGTCACCTCCGGCCACCGCTGACCCATGGGAGCGGAGCGCCGAGGGGACCCCTCAGCCCCCGGGAGAAATCCGATTAGAACGGACTTGGAAGGAAAGGCTCATGTGTGTTCCCACAGCCCCACGCACTTTCTGTGTGTCTGACCGAGAAATAACGTGACCTGTGTCACTGACGGTTTCGAAAAGCCCCAAAAATCCGGTGCCTGTTTTTACAGATGGATTTAGTTAGGATGAATGTTAATCCCATTTGGACACATTTTATCTTATGCATATCTATCTGTAACAGTACTTGCCCTCATTTCTGTGAATTAAAGGTAGTTTGTTTTCTTTAAATCATTGTTTTCATTATTCATAAAAGTTAGAATTGTTACTGTTCCTATTTTTATTTGCCGCTCAACCCCTGGCCACGCCAGAGCCCTGCAGCCTGGTGAGAGGGGTTGTCGGCTACTTGGGTCACTACTTTGCATCTGCACAGTATCCACCCTCCCTCCTCCTCCCACCGAGAATGTATCATATTAATGCTGTGTCAGTTTGAGCCAGTGGAACTGGGATACGCTAACAAACTGCAGATGCCTGTGTAAGCACAGCTCTGGTCCCGTCCCCACATTGGGATTTGACCCTGCTGCCCTCCAGTCCAGGATGCGTGAGACCCTGGTGCCCTCGGGCACCGGGCGGGAAAGCTGAGGCTGCCCCGGAACGCCCCCCCCCCCCCGAGTTTGCACCCGTGGTGGCCGGAGACTCCCTCACCTGCTTAGACTCAGTGCTGACCCGCACGGCCTGGCGCGGGGGAGCGCGTGCGCGTCCAGCTCCCGTGAACGAGCGCCCTGCTCGCTCTCTCTCCGGGTCACAGTGTGTCTTCGCCAGTCAGCTGCTCCTTCCCTCATTTCCCGGAGGAGAAAATGTTCTTGGTCCTCCGCGGAGATGCCATCTGTCCTTGACTCTGTGCCCACCCTGTCCTCCTGGGGCTCCGAGCCGGCCAGAGGGGTCAGGCACGAGGGTCAGCGTTTGTTCTGCCGCGCCGGCGCCGCCTCGCTCTGCTCCGGGCGCCGCCAGGGCCTCCCCGCTGACGCCGAGTGGAAAGGGGGCCAGGTGCCGGTTTCGCTTCCACGTGGGGCGTGCCACGCCGTGGGCGAGTGGAGGGGACTGAAGCGGGTCACTTAGCGAACTCCGGTGCCCGGAGGAGACTGCTGTCCGGAGCGAGGAACTGGGCCCGCTCAGTGTCTTGGGGGAGAGAGTGGCCTGTGAGTGCAGGGGGGACAGAGAAGGGGCCCTGAGGCCCCTAGGTGAGGGGGAGGAGTGAGGCCGTGCTCACAGGCGGCGTCATTGTCTTTGTGGGCGGCAGGAGCCCGACCGAGGCAGCTCTTAGGACCAACATGCGAGTTCAGCAAGTTGTCAGGCATGCAATAATGTAAGGTCCACACCGACATATTTCAGTATAAATCTAGCTCTTTCCAGCCGGCGCTGAGCCATGGGCACCTCTCGGGGTGGCTGGCACAAGTGCTGCAAGACCAGGGGCAGGAGGAAGCCCCCCCCCGAGAAGCGAGAACATGAGCGGGGGCGCCCCGCTGCCAACACTGAGATGGGCCCCCGGCGTGTGCACATGGTTCGGGTGCGAGGAGGCAGCAGGAAGGACCGGGCCTGGAAGCCGGACGTGGGCAGCTTCTCCGGGGGCTCGGGGTGTTGTGGGCGCAAAACAAGGGTTACTGAGGTCGTCTACAAATGTCCAGCAGCGAGCTGGCCGGGATCAAGACCCTCGTAAAGACCTGCACCGTGCTCACCGACAGCACCCCGCGCCGACAGTGGTGTGAGCCCCACCGCGCACGGCTCGGCCCCTGGGCCGTAGGAAGGGGGCCCAGCCGACTCCTGAAGAGGAAGAGATTTTGAACAAAGAGCGATCGAAGAAAATTCAGAAGAAATATGACGAAAGGAAAAAGAACGCCCACATCAGCAGTCTCCGGGAGGGGCGGTTCCGGCGGGGCAAGCTGCTGGCACACATCGCTTCGCGACCGGCCCGTGTGGCCGAGCGGGCGGCTGCGAGCTGGAAGGCGAGGCGCTGGAGTTCCATCCAAGGAGCACTAAGGCCCGGAAAAGGAAGTAACTCCTCCTCTCTGCTTTCACATTAAAAAAAAAAACAACAGATCCCTCTAATAAAGGAGATCTGTGTTAAAAAATACATATATACACACATATCTCTAACCCGATAGTGTGTACAGAATCTGTATGCTGGAGATCATAAAACGCCGACTTCAACCACAAAGAATTAAATGAGGGACGCCCCATGTTCACAGACCAGAAGGCCGTGGGGCTAAAACGTCACTCCTCCTCGGAGTGGTCCGGTCACGGTCTGGGGAGACACCTTCAAAGATGCAGGCACGCTGACCCTGCAGTGCACGCAGAGGGGAGCAGGGACCAGCCTCGAGGACAGACTTCTGGGGAGAAGAGCGATGTCGGAGGACCGGCCCTGCCTGGTGCGAGGGCCTCCTTCCCACCGCACTGGACGGGTGGGTGCTGGACAGGCGTGACGGGCCGGAACGGAGGGTCCGGGTGGCATCGCCAGCCTCGACGCCAGTGCAGGGGGCTTCCGCCGAGAAAGGGCAGTGCTTTCTGCAGGCGGTGCTGGGCCCAGAGACCCCAGCCTGCAAGATGAGACGGGAGACTCGGAGGAGCCAGCACAGGAGAAAACCCTCACGCCCTTGGTGCACGAAGAGGAGTGCTCCCCAGCACCAGGGGCAGGCTGTACGAGGGAAACCGGCCCCCGGCCCCCCCAGACTTTCCCTCAGTCCCTGTCAGAGGCCGGAGAAGTCATCTGCCCATCTCCCCCGACGGAGGACTGACACCCGGAATGTACAAAGAACTCTCCGGACTCAAAATAAGAGAACGAACACCCCAAACAAAAATGGACCCAAGTATTTTTTTAACGCTAGGAGGTACAGTTGGCCAAAAAGCACCTGAAAGCTGCTGAATGTCATTGTCCTTAGAGATGTGCAGCTTTCGAGCCCAGGGGGACCCCACCGCACACCCCATGGGCGGCTGTGTTCGGAGCAGAGTGGCGGCCCCCCCCCCCCCGAGGGTGTCGGTCCCGCCAACGGCGCCGGTCCCTGGGCGCTCACACCCTACTTCGGCGAGTGGGGGACGGCGTGGCCACTCTGCACAGCAGCGTGCAGATTCCACAGGAAGTCAGACGTGCACACGCCGCCCCCCCAGCAGCCTGCCCCAGGGAGGTGGCCGGAGAAAAAGGCCGGCTGTGCTCGCCCCCGGGCCTGCGCCTGAACGCCATGCGGCTCTGCTGCTCCTAGCCACCCAAGCCTGGAAGCCAGCCCCTGCCCCTCGGAGGCAGGCGGGCCAGTGGACAGACCAGTGGTCCCCCCACATGGCAGGTCACTGCTCCGACTCAGGAAGCAGCGGCCATGTTTGCCTCCGTCCAGTGTGTCCCAGGCGGATGGCTTTCCGTCGGTGTGACTTCCGCGAGGCTGAGCTCTCCAGGCTCCGAAAGAAACACTCGGGAGGAAGACAGACAGCCCTGCGGAGACGGAGCTCGGAGGGATGCGCCCCCCAGCCAGGGAGTGCCAAGGACTCCCGCCTCCAGAAGCCGCAGAAGGAACTGCCCACTGGCCCTTGCTGCGGGCGGCCAGTCTGCAGAACCGGCTGTCGTCCGCTGTAAGCAAGAAGGAGGAAGGCGGTCGAGGCCCCGGGAGCGTTCAGGAGCAGTTGGAGGAGCAGTGCCCACAGAACGCGTGAAATCCACTGCCTCCGCTCTCCGAGCTCCCGAAGCCAAACCTAGAGGTCCCGGGGTGATGCGGGTGGGGAGCTGGTCCCCAACCCCTAGGGGCGGGGGCTGTGTGCCCCTGCGAGGGGAGCGTGAGCACCCAGGTCGGCGCGCCGGCTGACGCCCGAGGCGTCCCCAGGACCAACGCCTGCACGGCCGCACACCAGGCCTGCGGTCACCGTGTCCCAGTGACACGCTCCCCGCCCAGTATCGCCGTCTGTTCTAATTCATTTTGTAAAGGCTCGAGCCCTTTTTTTTTTCTGTTCCAGTTCGGGCACGACATTATTTTACATTAGTTTCAGGTGCATTTTACAGCGTGTCCCGTGGACACTTCCAGCTCCCCGCTGGCACCGCACTCAGTGACCACAACGTTGTCACCGCGCTCCCTGTGCCGGACCTCAGGTCCCTGGAGGGTTCTGCATATCGCTGCCAATCAGTGCCTCTTGGCCCCGCCCTGCCCCCCTTGGCCCCGCCCTGCCCCTCTCGGCCCCGCCCCTCTGGCTCCCGCAGCCTGGGCCCCTGTCTGAGTCTGTTGTTCCGAGTGTCTGTGCCCTTCGTTCCGTAGACCCCACAGGTGAGTGGGAGCGCCCAGTGTTGGTCTTCCCCTGCCTGACTCACTCCACTGGGCACAGTGCCCTCGGGAACCAGTGGTTTTAATGCCGGGACGGCAGGGTTTCCCCCTCCCGGCGCCACTAAGCAGCCGCGGCTCCTCGGAGGTGCGGCCTCTGCCAGGTTCCTGCGTCCTGTCTCGGTCCCTCTGCTCACGTCCTTCTGCGGGGAAGACGGAGGTCCACAGAGAGCCTCCGGAGACGGAGAGCGGAGTGGCGGGGCGGCTGCTGCTGAAGCGGCTGCACTGGGGGCACACGCCTGCACGTGAGGACGCACGCCTGCACGTGAGGACGCACGCCCGCACGTGAGGACACACGCATGCGCGCCCTACTCGGAGGCCCCCCCCTGCCTGTGTGATGCGCTCAGCGTCCCCGACGGCGCCCACGTCTGCGCCGCGCTGACCCGAGGGCCGTTTTGCAGCAGGAGGCCCACAGAGCGAGGAGACCCCGGCCTCCGGGGTGTGGGCCGTGTGCAGGCCCCCGACTGGGAGGAGCGAGA